TCCCACTTGCACAGTTATCAGTGCCTCCGGCCAGCCCCAGAAGGCTGGTTTTTCCTCACTCTGGATTAAGGGCTTTATCTTGTACCTTCGGAGAAGTTGTGATCTCCTCCGAGGTCCTAAGATATTCCCCTTTAAACTATTGATCACTACGAGATCAATAGTGCCTGTTTCGGCTCCAGATGTGGGATTGTTAGGAACCCAGGAACGGAGCTCCGTCCCTTTCATCCCTAATGCGCTGAGGTCGCTGCCGGAAGTCCCAACAAGACAGACTTCAGAGGATAATTAGAACTGCAGAAAAAACAATTGCTACCAACCTGCCTTCCATTGAGGACCTGTATACTGCATGAGTCAAAAAGAGGGCTGTGAAAATATTTACAGACCCCTCGCATCCTGGACATAAACTGTTTCAGCTCCTACCCTCAAAATAACGCTATAGAGCACTGCACACCAGAACAACTAGACACAAGAAGTTTTTTCCCAAACGCCATCACTCTGCTAAACAAATAATTCCCTCAACACTGTCAAACTAGTTACTAAGTCTGCATTACTATTAATCTTTTCATTGTTCCTATCACCCATCTCCTCCCACTTATGACTGTATGACTATAACCTTGTTGCTTGTATCCTTATGACTTATATTTATAGTTTCCTGATTGCTTTTTTGTTCCCTATGACTATCATTAAGTGTTGTACCTTATGATTCTTGATGAACATAAATTTTCTTTTATGTACACTGAGAGCGTATGCACCAAGACAAGTGTCCAATCACACTTAGCCAATAAAAAATTCTGTTGCTCTGTTCTATTCTATTCTATTCTATTCTATACAAAATCAATGTGGAAATGGATATTGTAGCATATCAAACGTTATGGTGTTTTGCTTCTTTTTTAAAACAAATCAGAAGGTAGTAGGAATAAGTAGGGTTTTCTCCAGGAAGTAAGTCTTACGTAGTGTGTATGGGATAAGGGAGGGGGAAACAGAAGATGTGATCATATTCTAATGGCAAATCATTTCTGAAAAACCTTGCCATGACCTTGCATTACTTCAGGCAGTCACCAGGGGTCAAAAACTGCCTTGAAGGCACAAATAATAAGTTAGTACCACCATACTCTTTTGTAAATAGCTCCTTCTTGGTTCAATGTTTTTCTTGTTTCCCCGATTATATTTTGTCTAAGAGGGAAAACTCCTAAGCTTATGTTTGTAGCTACTGTTGAGTTTCCATAACTCATCTTATTTTAATTAATTTATTCAACATTTTAATTTAAAAAAAAAGTGATTAGCATGGTATAAAAAAAACTCATCTGTAGCACACCTTTCAACAATGTACTTGCAAAGTTAGAAGCATTCTTAGAAAATGCTTCTAAGGCTGCTGGTTCATTGTGTGGAGGTTTTCCCACATGCCCAGCGGGGGGAAAGGCAGTAAGACTCCTGATTAGGAAAGGCACCTGTGGAATTGATTTCCATTGTTTTTGCATTCTCTCAGTGAAAATGGCCAAGGGTCAGTGTGACTGTGAATTTCCCACTTCCCTTTCTGTTTCCTCCCTGAGTGTTTCTTCCTCCGTTCATAGACTGAGAGCACTGAAACTGGCAACTGCTGTGTCAGGGCGATGGACCTCTGCAGCCTTCATGTAATAGAAACACAAGACTGATAGAATATTTGTACCTCAGGGTTGAATTGAGGGGTCCCTGGTGCTCTTTGAGCTTGGTTGTGTTCTTGCAGATGTTTCATGCAGTATCTGCAAGAAAACAACAAACTTCAGGGAACAAGGATCCCACAAGTATATATGTAACCAAGTTCCTCTTGTTTGCAGCCTTTTTTTTTTCTTTTCCTTTAGTTTCACATGCAACTTTGTAACATGGCCTACTTGAATAATTCTAGTATTTTAGAATATTTTAGAATTCAAACTGTCATTTATTTCAATTGATGTAGTTCAGTCTTCATCACAGAACAAACTTCCAAATATGTGGGTACTTTTTAGCACATCACCCACCAGGTTTGAGCAGTAAGCTTGGTGTTAGCGATGATATATTAATCTATTTATTCAACCATATCTCCCTCAAATATCCTGCTTATGAGAATGCAAGCAATTTTTCCTGAACCCATTTGCACACTTTTTTCACTATATTGTTTACATAAGAATACATGCGATTCAAGATGCTGGTGATGACCTATAAAGCCCTATATGGCTTAGGCCCAGGATATTTGGCGGACCACCTGCAGCCAGCAACAACTTCCCATCACCCGGTTTGCGCCCATAGGGAGGGCCTGCTCAGGGTGCCGTCAGCTAGACAATGTCGGCTGGCAGCCCCCAGGGATAGAACCTTCTCTGTGGGCACACCCACCCTCTGGAATCAACTCCCCTTGGGGCTCCGGTTGGCCCGACCTTCGCACTTTCCACCGCGAATTAAAAACTTGGTTATTCAAGTCCCCCGGCCTGGACTGATGGGGTTTATATGGGTTTTTAACTCTATCTGGTTTAATTAGGTATTTTAACTTTGTACTGTGGTTATTGTGGATTTTATTGTTGTGAGCCGCCCTGAGTCCGTTGAAGATAGGGCGGCAAATAAATTAAATAAATTTTTTAAAAAAATTCTGATGTTTCTGCTCCTTCCTTGTTTTTAAATTAACTCATCATCTTGCTCTAACTATTCTGACATATTTCATATTAAGACTAGACTAGAAAGAAGATTCTCCTGCCTTCAAAATAAATAGGTTCTAATGTTATATCTTTTTGCCTTTATGCCAGCTATGTTTTTGAGAAATGAAGAATGAAGGAATTTGAGCAAGAAAAAATTGAAGGAAGCGATGTCCACTGAGAACAATTATTTTAGATGTTTTTTTTTATATTAAAGATTGCAAACTACCAAATGTTTTGATATTAATGTTTATACCCCTCAAAAAAAAAAAGATTATGACAGAAATGTTTATCATGATGTGAATGCTAGAATCTGGAATCTTTATGTATATATTTAGATATGTCCATAGGTATGTGAAACACTTGCATCTATTTTCATATCCATAGTGCTCAGGAATAAGGAAGAATATGGAGAGGCTAAGGTGGGTAGCATACAGTAATTACATCCTTTTGTGATATCTTGAGATACTATCTGTTTCCCCCAAAATAAGACCTCCCCTGATAATAAGCCCAATCAAGCTTTTGAGTGCATGGCAATAAGGCCAAGCGCTTATTTCAGGGTTCAAAAAAATATAAGACAGGGTCTTATTTTCGGGGAAACACAGTATGTATAAGGTACACCTCTGTACAAAAAAATACACATTTCAGGATACTCAAATTTCAGGACACTCATCACAATATTACCAGCATCAGGAACTAGTTCTCATATATTGACCAATTAATAAAGGAAACTATTCCAGGAAGCATCCAATGCAAAGCCTGAGATTAATGAACATGGTTTTCAGATTAAAAACATTGAAGGTTTTGCTTGTAGTTATGGTATGCATCCTTCAATATTCAGGGTATGGTTTCATATGCTGCCTGCATCCCATGGATGGGGCTTCTCTTGTTGCACAGCCCAGTTTCTGGGTGTTGGGGACCTTTGTGATTGTCTTAAAAATTTCCTAAACTGAGGCATACTAGTAAGGTATTCTGGGAAGCCACCCCTCTTAGAAGAATGAATGTTTTGGGAAATATTAAAAAGGCAAAATATTATATTTCCCCAAAGGGAGAAATGGAGAAACATGCTCTTAAAGACAGAAAGCAGACTCAGTCTTTCTTAATAGCAACCCGCAACCCCCACCCCCCACCCGGCACATATTTTCTGCCCATTAAGAAAGACTGGGCCATCCTATCTACAAAACAAAAGACCTTCAGCTTCAGGATGATGGGATTAAGAACAGGGCATACCCTTTAGGACATAATAGGAGTAACACACTACCATTTAGCAGAAGACACAGAGCTCACTACATTGCACAATCTCCTAAGGGTATTTCAGACATTGCACAACCTTCCTAGCAGCATCTCTGAAACTTATAAAAAATCCATGAACTCATCAAACCCAGTTGCCCAGAATCCCAAGTGGTTGGTGGTTCTGCTTCATCAATAAATGGACCTTCTTTTCAATCAGCCTCCAGCCTCCATTTTGTTTCCAGTGCCTTTCTCATGCCTTGGAACTGAACCAGATGGTATCTTTTTGGACTCAAATCTTCAGGCCCAATATATATATATTGGGAGCAGCAAGGTTTACAAGATATCCTGCTTTGGGTGTCTGACAACTTGAGTAGCTTTGCATGCCAAAAGCATTGACTTTGCTGCTACACCTCTGCAATCTAATTTGCTGGGGCCACACAGGGCATCCGAGTCATAATTAAACTTAGATTTGGCTGGATTCCCCAGTACTGTACATGTAAGCCAAAAATGAAATTGCTTTTGGCATAGTGCAGTGTGAGGTCACCGAGTGGCTATGGTTCACACAACACCGAATTAAGAGGTAGTCAATTAGAAATTACCGTACTGTAGTTGTATGAAAGAGCCGAGGTGGCGCAGTAGTTAGGGTGTGCAGTACTGCAGCTACTTCAGCTGACTGCTAGTTCAGCAGATCAGCGGATCAAATCTCACCGGCTCAAGGTTGACTCAGCCTTCCATCCTTCCGAGGTGGGTAAAATGAGGACCCAGATTGTTAGGGGGCAATATGCTATTTATTATATTGTCTTTGGTGTAAGCCGCCCAGAGTCCTGGGAGAGTGGGCGGCATAGAAATATGAATAATAAAATAAATAAATAAATACCACCCTATGTTGTTAATTTGTAGTACGGTGTGCTGTGAGAATCAGGCAAGTAAATTAATTACGGACAAAGGACATGATGCAGACCATCAGAGATTGGATCCACACATTAACTAGCTCCTAATGTTTAACTGGTGATTTAATCACCGTTTTTAGGGGGAAAGCACCGTAGGCTTAGTACACAGGATCACGTCCGAAGGCCACGCTATATAAATCACAAATCCAGTTCAACACCATAAAGAAGTTTGGCCTACGGAGGTGCGGCCCAAATCACGACTACGGGTGCGCGCCACGAGGCGAACTGTGCCACTTGCACCAGTCGCCTCGTGCATGCTTGGCGCCACAATGGCACCCCGGTGGCTTCACCTCCCGGACGGCTGAAGTTGATCCTGCTACTTCGCAGCCTCCCGGGACATCCCGCAGCCACCGCCGCCCTAAAACGGAAAGCGAAACCTAAGGAGAAATCCGTGCGGGAGCAAAGAGAGCAAACTTCCACCCTTCTCCGAAGTGGCACATCCGACGGGCGGAGCTCTTTGACGGGAAAAAGGAACGCCCCGTGGCAAGACGCCGACGCAGGGAGAGACGGCAGAAAGGGTCGTCCTCGTCGTCACTGCGCCGCAGCTGCTCCCTCGCTTAGGAGGAGGAGGAGGAGGAGGAGGAGAACAACGATGGCCTTCGCCTGGAGTTTCCTCTGGAGCCTTTGCCTCCTTTTGGGTCTCCTGCTGCTGCCCGGCGGTGAGTGACAGACTTTGGAGGGGAAAGCTGGCTGGGCGCCGGTGGGGCGGTCAGTCCTCTTCTGGGGAACCGGCTGAAGCATTTGAGGCTGCCGCTGAAGGCAGGGAGTAAGGACCGGCGACCCTCTGCCTCGTTTGAATCCAAGGGGGCTTTTCCCAGGGCTGGGTGACGTCACAGCTCTCATCAGTACCGCCAGGGCTGTTTGGCGTAATGGGTCGTGGCTCAGCACAGCGAGCGGGCGCCAGGTTGGAGCAGGCAGTCCTTGTGATCAGGAAACCGTTGGGAGGGTGGCAGAAATTAACCTTCATTACCTGAACCGGAGAACCCCAGACACGCAATTGTGTTTTTTCAGTTGCGACGGTCGCGATAGGGTTAAATTGCCGATCGCTCCTGATGCTGAATGTTGGGATCCCCTTGGCTGGGGGCAGATTGTTCACCCAAGCGTCGCCTGAGTTAGTTTGCTGAGTGAGTAGCTTAGTCACCGTTTCCGAGACTTGACTTGAAGAGAAGCAAGGGACGCGCATTTTGATCATACCAAAGCCCCATCTAATTAATTTTACAGCTCTTGTCTGCCTGGGTGTCCTAAAGTCTCCAAAGCGGAATTTCCATGACAGATTGACTCACTGCTGTTCTCTGTGCAACTTCTTTGTTGCTTACCTCTGTGTGAACTTCTGTATTTTGTATTCTGACTCTCACTCTCGGGGAGAAATTCTTTTTTTTCTTCTTCTCATATTGCAGAACATTCAGTTCTTTCTCTCATTTGATCCCTAAATGGAAGTATCTGAAAATTTCCAGACTTTTCTGGAATTAGATTGTACAAAGCTGGCATTTATTTCCAACTAGGAAGTGTGAGGTTTATTCTGATAATAAACAATTAAAAACTTGAATGTTAATTTTGTTTCCAGTAAGCATTTACAGCAGTAGGCATTAAAGTTGAGCCAATTAAACATCATTTTCCCTCAGGCTCTGGATTAAAGCTAATTTTTTTCAGACTAGGATCTTAATACTTCGTTGGTATGGATTTAGTTTATTATGTGATATGGTATCTGAGAGGGTGTGATAATGTTGTGCATGATGTTACTAGCATCCCTTGTCAGAACACAAGTTTGGAGGAGTGACATTTGTGAGATTGTATTGTGCTGGTTTTATCATTTTGACATCACTGTGATTTCTTTTGGGGACCCAGTGAACCAAACCATTGTGATTTTAATCATGATTTGTGGTTTGGCATGTGTAAACTGAGAGAATTGTCATTCAGTGAACCATAATTAAGCATAGTGTATTCTAGCATGGCGAATCCATGGTTCCTGAACCCATCCAGGCACAGACATGGAAGACACTGAGGGTTGGAAATTTTTCTCCTTGATTTACAAAATCAAGAGGGCAAAAAATAATAATAATCAGAAATGGTATAAAATGTGAACCATGAACATCTACCAAGATTTTGAGGATGATCAATGAGGGAAGTATAATGAACATCCACTCAGTTACAATATTGATTGTCTTTGTCTTTGAATATTAGAACTTTGGACTTTATAGGCCAGTGATGGCGAACCTTTTTCTCGTTGCGTGCCGGAAGTGTGTGTGTGTACGCGCGATAACACCCGCGCGTGCCAGCACCCATAATGCAATGCGACCCCCCCACGCATGCGCATACACACGTGACACCCCATGCATGCACCCCACATTGCGCACACTCCCCCATGCATACGTTCTGCATTGCGCATGCGCAGTCCCCCACATGCGCTTCGTGCCTCCACACCGCGACTTGTTTTGGGCTTTTGGGAGCAGGGGTTGAAGCGCAAGAACCGGCTTGGCTGGGAAAAAGGGGGTGGGGGAAAGATCTGCTTTGGGGCTTCCCTTTCTCCCCAGCCGAGCTCCAGACCTGTCCAGGGGCAGGGATTGAAGTCCCCAATTGCTGCTTCTAGCAGCGCAAGAACCGGCTCGGCTGGGAAAAAGGGGTGGGGGAAAGATCTGCTTTGGGGCTTCCCTTCTCCCCAGCCGAGCAGACTGTCCAGGGGCAGGGATTGAAGCCCCCAATTGCTGCTTCTGGCACCACAAGAACCACTGTTGCCGGGGTTGAGGGGGTGCCAGTGCCAGAAGCAGCGGGCTGGGGCTTCAATCCCTTTCCCTGGACAGCCTACTCGGGTGCGGAGACAGGGAAGCTGCAGATCGCAGATCCTTCCCACCACCCCCTTGCACCTGGCGGCAGCGGTTCTTGCGCTCCCCTTCCCCAGCGATGGCAGGAGCAGTTGGTGGGGGAGAGAGGGTGGTGGCAGGCTGCAGCAGCAGGCTGGTCGCACTGGCTACAAGGCAGCAGCGGCTCCTCCTCCTGCCACCCTCGCGCTCCAGGCAGCGTCCAGGCAGCCATGTCTGTCCTCCCCCTGCGCCAGCCCACGTAGATTCCAGGCAGCGCAGCTGCAGGGCCTTTCCTCGCAGTGGCGATGGCGTGATGAGGCAAGCAGGCAGCCGGGCATAGGGGAGTGACTGGTGGCAGTGCTCCTGGCTGGCAAGGGGTGATCCCGGGGCTGTATGCGGGCAACGATGGCATGGCCGGTGCGCACCCGCATTAAAGGCCAGCTGATTGTCATGCACGCATGCGCACCAGTAACCCGCAGACTAGCTGGCTGGTGCGCACGCGTACCCTGGAAACCCGGAAGAGGAATGGGCGACGCCACGCGTGCCAGGCAACATGGCTCTGCGTGCCACTTCCGGCACGCGTGCCATAGGTTCGCCAACACTGTTATAGGCTTTTTATAGACTTTACAGACTTTTATACGGTTGCATTTATGGATGTCAACATCAACGTTTTGTCAAAATAATGACTCTGATGTGCCATCATGCTGCAACCTCCACTCTTGCCATGCTTTTGTGTAAGGTCTCAGTGCAGTTGCAGAAGAGATGAGAGTTTGTCGTGATGATGCAGCCCTGCTTTGTCCATCATGCACCCCTCCCCCCCCAGATACTGTTACCAAGTGTTTGCTGCTGCTTTAGCAATATTCTTAGTTTTAAATTTCATATGCAGAAAAAAATGAAAGGGACTATTTGTTGCACGCTTCAAATTCTGTCTCATCCTTTTACTGTTCTAGCATTTCTAAAACAGCCTTTCTTTTCCTGGTACATTTCAGTTGGTTAGTATTCATATCATTTCTATTAGTGTGTCTGTGTGTCCTTTGTGATAGCTGGCTGCTCTGATTCAATGCACTATGCACGTGGCCTCATGGTTCATCCAGGAAAAAAGCAGGGTGGTCTTTATGGAGCAAACCTAACACACATATTTCGGAATAACATGTTTGCTTGATGATTTCATTAACAAGTTGCGGTGAGGGGTGACTGTTTTGATAATAGAATGAAATACATGGAGGATGGGAGTGAAGTAAAAGCCAACCAGGACAAACCATCTATCAAAGTGGGTGGAAAAAGCAGAAGAAAACAGGGCCAGGGACAGATTTTGCTATTCTTCATTGTGTGCTTCATTTCATGATAAACATCCATCTCACCGTCTCACACTCACCCCCATACAACTTTCTAGCCAACCAGTGATTAAAACATGTCACTATGTTTTGAACTATACCTGAGGATTAACTGCCAGTTAATTCAGGAGCTCTGTACCAAAAGGAACATGATAGTTTTTCTGACAAGTTTCTCTTCTCCAAAATGTACTTTCTAGGTGCATTAGAGTTACAGTTCTTAATCTTCTGTAATCCCATCCAGAGGTGAGAAAGCAGCTGCTTAGAGATTGGAATTTGTGGGAACTTTTCCAACAAACATTATGTCTCTTTTACCATAATAAAAAAAATGGATAAACTTGATTTTAAAATTCTGTTGAGAATATACAGCAAAAATATCAAATAAAATATCTTTTACTATTGTTGTAGACCAGGGGTGTCAAATTCAAGACCTATGGGCTGAATCTGGCTCACAGGGTGCTTAGATTGGCCTGCGGAGCCGCCCTGGAAACAGCGAAGGACCAGCCCGTGGTGCCTCTGCCAGCAAAAATGGAGCTTGGGAGGGCCACATGTGGGGCTCTGTTTTCGCTTGGTAGAGGGTTGCCGGACACCGCCACGGCCGAAAACGGATGTGAAGCTGTCCATGCCCAACCTGCCCTCCCCACAAGGTCAAACACAACCCTGATGTGTCCCTCAATGAAATTGAGTTTGACATCCCTCCTGTAGACCAATATTAAAATAATGAAGCAAAATAGAACAATTAGAAAGCTTCTGTATATACATAGGAAAAGATAACAGTAAGATGAACTGCCAAACATCTAATGAATCTTATACTAGACCACCTGAATACATATTCTACTCTGAATTATCAAAACCTGCAGGCTATTAATGAGAATGTGGATACACAAAGTGTTATTATAAAATCTTGGACAAAAATTGACCCACCTAGAACACATCTATGGAGGAAGAGGCCTCAGAGAATATTATAGAGTCTGTGCAAGTCACAATATACTATAATTGGATGCAAACAAGTGGTTCCCAAGAGTTCCTACTCTACAAGTGCCTACTCTTTCTGAAAAAGCAGCTTTTTTAATTCTACAGTATGGTAGAAGAAAATTGCTGTGGATAATTTGCTAAACTTTTATTAGGTAAAAGTCCTGCTATAATTGTGAACAGTAAGTTCTCAAATCCTTCTGTGCTGCCTCAGTGAGTCTAGGGCCATGGTGGCAAACTTATGGCACACATGCCACAGGTGGCATGCAGAGCCCTCTGAGCACGCGTGCCCTCGCCCCAGCACAGACAAAACACTGCTGGACATGCACTGAAACAAGCGATGGGCAGAACAGGGCTCTGATTGGTGGATACAGTTTAATTTTGTGCCTCCTATTTAAGTTGATAGACAGCCAGGGGCCTGTTTGCAAATGGTCCTCGCTCCTTTCCTTCTATTTTGAAAACCCCTCCCTGACCTTTCGCTTTTTCCACCCCTGATTCCCTCCAGTAGTTTTCATTTGCTTGCCTTCTTTCAATAATTACACAGATACACAAACAAATAACATGTGTTGTTGTCGATGAGACCTAATTGCAAAGAATGGTGTGTGTGTGTGTAAGACTAGACTAGAGGGATCTTGCACACTACTCTCTATCTCTGCAGCAATAATGGATCCCTCACTGCCCACCTCCTCGCCCCGTGCTTGGTCCTCTTGGTGTGTTCTTTTCCTGTGGCAGGATTGTCTCAGATCACGTGCAGAATGCCTTCACCGTTCAGTGCCCCTGACCCCCAAAGTTCAGACTAGGATAAGGCCTTTCAAATCAACCCCTGCAAATTTTCAGCCCTCACCAGAGCAATAGAAGGGAGAGAAGACGAGGAGGATTCTTTAGTTTTGCCCTTCTTTGGTCCAGCTCCCTCCCGCCCTCCTGTTCCGTGTGACCTTTCACACTCACCCCGCTTCCCTGCCGCATTCCCACGAGGACCGCTCC